TTTGAGAGATCCGTCTATATACCATTCTATGTTTTGTGCACGCGAGGATTTGACTGCTCTTATACTAAAATTAAGCACGTTGCGTGCATGTTCTCACCAAATTTCCTCCTTCGTGAGATTTTTCTTCGGTTGATTAAGTTGACCACTTGAGATTTCATTACACATATAGTTTCATTTTGTACCTGAATTTTGAAAATCCTCGAAAGAGTGAGTGAGTGATCTCGATCAATCGTCGGAGTTTCTCTGCATGGGTTCCATCGAAACAGAGCAACCTCTCCTCGAGGAAGGATCAATACAGGTTCTATAATTTGAATCTTATTAACAACTGTTTGTTACTGATTAATTTGACTTGAGTTTGCTCTAATCTTGTTTTTTTTTTTCCTGGGGTTAAGTAAACTTGGATTTTCTGGTTAATCACTGTGACACTGTTTATTTATGAATCCTCAACTTTCGGATTATGGGTAATGAAAGTGTAATAATTTCTTTCTGGTTTGTTGGATTTTCATATGTTTTGTTTACAATTCTAATGATTAAAGAATTAGTGATTTAGTTTGTATCAAGAATAGATTACATTTGCTCTAATGAAAATTCGAAATTTATCAGGAGGAACTGAAATTATATGCTGAAGATGGTTCAATCGACATCAATGGAAACCCACCTTTAAAGCAAAAAACCGGAAACTGGAAAGCTTGCCCTTTCATTTTAGGTGAACAATCTTGACTTTTTGTTTTGTTTTGCAGTCTTGTTGGAACTTTTTTTGGTACTGATCTCTAAAATGTGCAGGCAATGAATGTTGCGAGCGTTTGGCTTACTACGGTATCGCTCTCAATCTAATTACTTATCTCACTACTAAATTACACCAAGGAAACGTTTCCGCCGCTAGAAACGTCACAACATGGCAAGGGACTTGTTATATCACTTCTCTCATTGGAGCAGTCTTAGCCGATGCTTATTTGGGTAGATACTGGACCATTGCTTCTTTCTCCGCCATTTATTTCATCGTAAGTGTATCGAGATTTCAACAAGAATGTATTAATTATTTGCAATCAATTTGTTTAAAACTCTGTTTTGGTCACTCTTGATTCATGTTTAGGGAATGTCTGTTCTGACTCTCTCTGCTACGGTTCCATATCTGAAACCCGCTGATTGCGTTGGAGACATTTGCCCATCGCCAACCGCAACTCAGTACTTCACGTTCTTTCTCGGGCTTTACCTTGTAGCTCTTGGTACCGGGGGAATCAAACCGTGTGTCTCATCCTTTGGTGCTGATCAGTTTGATGATAAGGACTCGAGTGAGCGAGTTAGAAAGTCTTCTTTCTTTAACTGGTTTTACTTCTCTATCAATATCGGGGCGTTTGGATCGTTTGGTCTAGTGTTGGTTCAAGAGAATATCGGTTGGGGTTTAGGTTTAGGGATACCTACTGCGTTCATGGGATTAGCTATTGTCAGTTTCCTCTTTGGCACTCCGCTTTATAGGTTTCAGAAACCAGGAGGTAGTCCGATAACAAGGATTTGCCAAGTTCTTGTAGCTGCATTTCGTAAAATGAATCTAAAAGTCCCTGAAGATACAACACTTCTGTATGAGAATGAAACACAAGATCAGAATTCTAAAGTTGCTGAAATCAGGAAAATCGAGCATTCAGATGATTACAAGTAACCTTTCTCTCCTCAATCGTTTCTTTGATTTTCATGTAAATTTTGTTTGGTTCTGATTGGTTTCATGACAAACTTGGATTCGATTTTCGGTTGTCATTGCAGGTATCTTGACAAAGCCGCTGTTTTATCAGCTGAAGAAGCGAAATTTGGAGGCTTTTCCGATCCGTGGACCCTATGTACCGTCACGCAGGTCGAAGAACTCAAGATTCTGATCCGAATGTTCCCGATTTGGGCTTCGGGTATCGTCTTCACGTCACTCTACGCTCAGATATCCACATTGTTTGTCCAACAAGGAAGAGCCATGAACTGCAAGATCGGCTCTTTCGACCTTCCTCCAGCGACTATCGCAGTTTTCGACTGCATCACGGTCCTCATTTGGGTTCCCATCTACGACAAATTCATCGTCCCGCTCGCAAAATGCTTCACAGGGATCGACAAAGGATTCACCGTGCTTCAAAGAATGGGAATCGGTCTTTTCCTTTCGATCCTCGGTATAGCATCAGCTGCCATCGTTGAGATAGTGCGGCTCGGGCAAGCGGAAACTAAAACCGCGGTTTCTTTAACCGTGTTTTGGCAGATACCGCAGTTTTTCATACTCGGTGCAGCAGAGGTTTTCTACTTCATAGGACAGCTAGAGTTTTTCTATGATCAGTCACCTGATTCGATGCGGAGTTTGTGTACTGCATTAGGACTATTGACATTTGCGTTTGGGAGTTACCTGAGCTCGTTGATCCTCACTGTAGTGACGTATTTAACGACCATGGACGGTGGAGATGGATGGATTGCGGATGATCTCAACGAGGGGCATCTTGATTACTTCTTTTGGTTACTGGCCGGTTTAAGCATTTTGAATGCGGCGGTTTATGTTTTCTCTGCCGTTAGTTACAAACAGAAGAAGGTGTTGTAAATTGTAACTCTAAATTTTATGTAATTTTCTTTTTATAACTCGTCGTTTTTTGTTGTTGTCTCAATCTTGTGATTTCTGGTATGATCAAGTGTCTTCCCAATTAATTTTTCGTGAAAATTTATTTCCAAAATGTCTTTATTCTCTCAATTATCAAATCGTCTCGTTTCTAACTTCCTCATGCAATGTTTCATTTTAATGCATGATCGAGAGAAATAACAAGGGGTGGTGGATTAATCACTACTTGTGATTCTGG